ATCTATCAAAATGTTATACATTTAATTATTTATTCCTGGATTAAATTTTTATATTATTGAGTCATTTAGTTATTTCTTTATTTTGGCAGTTCAATAGAATAACCACTTGCCTCGCTCTATCTGCAGGAAACAAAACCCATCGGAATGTCTAATTATGATGGTTTGTTTTTAGTCCAAACTGAAATTTTGCAAATTATGTAAATTCATGAAGCTTAAAAAAAAAAGCAACAATATGGGCAAATTCAGATTATTATTTTTCTCCTGTCTCCATTCTTTGAGCTAAGCTAACAGATACCAGCTTTTTAGCCAGATAGGAGAGTTGGGTCATTCTTATCTAAAGTCCCCTGCTGACGTTTATAGCAAACCTCTACCTTGCAGGAGAGGATGTTGCCGAAGGCGGAGAAGGTGTCGTACAGGGCCTTGTTGTCAATGGACTTGTCGAGGTTCTTGATGAACACGTTGCCCACTCCAGACTTCCTGAGAGAGGGGTCTCGCTGGGACCACATGATTCTGATGGGCTTCCCTTTCACCACGTCAAAGTTCATGGTGTCCAGGGCTCTCTCAGCTGGGGGGAGGAGGGGCAGAGGGGCAGAGGGAAAGGTCATGGGTGACTGTTTACACAGAGACATGAGTCTGAAAACATATCAGTTACTGATATGTACGCAACATATCATTGTGCTTTCATCATGCATAGTAAAAAATAATTTCTATTCTGACAGTCCCATGATGCAACAGTAAATGCAGCCATGTGCTTTATTAAAACAGTTGGTCCTCCTGTGCTGTGTGTGCCACAATGGAGGATCCCTGCCACCAACCCGTTTACAGAGAATGTTCAGATACTGCAGTCGACTATGAGGCTGACAAGTTGTCTGTGAGCAGCTGGGACATGTGGTGGGGGGCAGCTGCAGTCAGCAAGCACATGGCCCCTGTTCTCTGACTCACCACATGCTGCCGGGCAACCTCTCACCTATGGGCCAGTTACGGAGGCAGACCCCGACAACAGCATCCGAAAAAGTGTGGTTCAGATTTGTCTTTATAGCTTTTCACTGTCTACTGCTTTATTTATCACACAGGCTCTTAATGTCCACGTTGGCACAAATGCCAAACACCCTTTTGTTCAGGCACTCCACAGTAACACACACACAAACGCAGGCCGGGCTATCCAGCTAAAAGTGTCTGGTAAACAAAACGGAGCTGCCTTGCGTCTGCTGGCATCAGCAGTTTGGCTTGCAATTGTACTTTACAACCCATGTGCTCAGAGAAGGTGTGTGTCTCTCTGTTCTAGTGTGTGTGTATATATCGCTGTCAAACATGGAAGGTTCCCAGTGGCAAACTTTCACTTTAAAACAAGCCAAATCCTGTATGGAATACAAGATGACTGTTTTTAGGTTACATGATGCCATTTAGAAAGGTGTATGGTGAAATAGTCAGTGTTGTCAAATGTTTATTTCTTTCATTTAATAGGTAAACTATTATGGGCAGGCAGATTTTCTGCTGCTCACATAGAAGCTCTATATTTAGAGAGGGGTCCTGAGAGGTATGTGCTGGCGTGGAGTGTGAGTGGAGCACTCTGTGCCATTGATGGCAAAGAGAAACATTTAACAGGAATTCTTAGATGAGCAACACCAAGTCTCGGGAGTGTTCACAAGTATGAGATGTAAAGAATTAAATGAAGACAATTGGCTGCATGAAATCATCCGTAGCGACCAGTTACCTCTCTTCGTTCACAAACCATGTCATTATTGACCCACGGACACGTGTTTGGTTTGGACACCATCTAAATACCCAGAAGCCCCCTCCCCCTGCTTCATGTCTAAACCTCCCAAGACCAAATGGTGTCTTCTCACTGAAGGCCTCTCTAACATTTACTGGAATGAGTGAGACCACCACTCTGGGAGTGAGCCGGGTGTAAACCATCATTACTCCAGCTGTTGTAACCGACATGAGCACAGATAAGTTTTCACAGGTGTTGATACACGCCACAGAAAAAAAAAGAGTCTGGACAAAGTAAACATTATCATCAGGTTGCTGATGACATCCCAACCACCTGCTACCACTGCTCAATGTTCCATACCACTGGTTGTATACGCACAAGTCTCTGAATAAAGACATGTGGCATCAGGTCCTAAGAAATAACAAATTAGCCTGGATTAATATTCACTTAATCACCAACCAGTTGGAAATTGAACCTGGGATTAAGGGTTTATCAATCAGACCACACCGGAGGTTATTATTCAGCTGTGCTTGTCCTGTTTTCTCACTCTCAGTGGATATATGGCAGCGGCGTGCAGTGGGAACTAGTTTCACTCTGCAGGCCTTTAAATAGGAGCAGAAATGGGTCATTTTGGGCTGAATGCAAAAGATCAACCATGCATAGACTTCTACATTTCACAACTGATAAGCACAACATGGCTTTTCTGGTGACTTTAAAGCATAAGTCAAACATTACATTGAGTCACGGCTTTAACAAGTGACATATATTTCCAGGAGTACACAAGAAGTGGGTCAAGTTTATATAGATCCAGTAACTGCTTCAACCAGGCAGAAGAACTGCAAGTGACTGAGATAAATTGTAAAAACTCATTAGATTAACTATGATTTTTGTGTTTTTGATTCATTGAGGATGAAGAGAATTTGTTGAAGAATAGAGTTAAAGAAAACAATAATTTGATAGATGACAATTTATGTTTATGCAATTATGTTAGAGTAAAGTAATGTGCAATGGTGTGTATGTATAGTCTTATTATTTGGACTGTAGTAGGCTGTGTATAAATTTGTATGAGGTAAAGGTGTGATTCAGACTGATTCATTTCATTTTCGAAATCGATCTATCTTCATTTATGTGTGTACAAACATATTTGGACAAATAAATCGAACCTGTTTTATACTGCCATTCTTGTTGCATGCTGTTATGTTGACAGTTTGAGGCTTGACATTGAAAGCAAACAGTCACATTGTCAACACTGGAGGGGTGCATGCTTCTCTGCCTCTTCTATACAAGTGTGTACTGCAGCCACACACACACACACACACACGGGGACAGGACATGTCCTCTTACCGTCTGCAGGCTGGGAGAAGTTGACATAAGCGTATCCGAGGGATCGCCGGGTGATCATGTCTCGACAGACCCGGATAGAGAGCACCGGTCCGGCGGGGCTGAACTTCTCGTAGAGCATCGCCTCCGTGATGTCTGGGTGCAGATCGCCAACGTAGAGAGAAGCCATCGGATAACTCCCGGTCGCTGTGTTCATTCCTCGGATTTGACTCAGTTAAAATGAAGCTTCTCTCAAACACAAAATGATGATTGGAATAAGCCGATATGAAGGAGTCCAAACTGCGCTTCTGCTGTCAGAATAAAGACTGGAAGGTTAGTGGCTGTCTGAGCCAGCCCGGTGAAGAAAACTAAAACTAAACTAAAATAAAAATCAGGGTTTAAAAAAGAAAAAAAAAGATTCCCGAACCGATTCCTCCTTTTAAAAAAAAGACGCCAACGTCGGGAAAAGCCCGAGGCCTCTTGTTTACGATTTTTTTTTTAATTAAAATTTTAAGTTTTTTTTTCTAGAACAGTGAGTTAGACACTCACGGTTGTTTTGTGGCCGGTGAAAGAGACTGCGGGAGGGAAGCGTGGCCACTATATACAGAGAGAGAGGTGCGGAGGAAACAGTGGCAGGGGTCTCACACACACACACACACACACACACACACACACACACACACACACACACACACACACACGGTGTAAAAGGGAGAGAGCACACTGTACCGTCCCAACTACTCAGCTCTGCTCCCCACAGCGACATCTGGGAGGAAATACACCATGAAAACCGCTTAGTCATACTTTACAGGACGATTTAGCAGTAAAAGTACTTTTCTATATGAGTGGAAATCTGATTTGTTTCTTAAAACCATATGACCTTGTATAAAAATGGGCAATATGTTTTACATGATAGCATATGGTTTAGAAAACAAGCCCCATTATTATCATTTACATGTGATTCATTTATTTAAGCTGTACAATAAATATTTTTATCTCTTGCTGATTTACCTATACAGTTGTACCCGTTGTACATTTGAATATTGTTAAATAAAATAAAGATGGATGAAATGACAAAGCATCTCGATCCCAACCGGGTGGCCGGCTCAGTTTAGATCTTAAGCCTGCTCTGTGATGTTATTGGATGGGAAAATAAAAAATTCTTCAAGTTAAAAAAGTTCTCAAAGCTGGCTGTCATTTCATTCATTTAGGATTTTGCAAATACTATACCTGACTGAAAATCACAACATTTGGAAGGATGCAGTGTGGGTCAGCAACTAACTCATTGAGTTTTGGTGCAGATTTGAGAAATTCTCTTATCTTTAAAGGTCCAGTGCATAAGATTTAGGTGAAAGGGAAAATTTTATGTAGAATAATCCTTGTTTATAGTCACTGATGTTTTCACTAGTTCATTTCATCTAAATTGTATTGATTGTATTTTTTTTTACCCCAGAAAAGTCCCTTAATATTTAAATAATTATATTTAGATTGAGAGGGTCCTCTCTACAGGGGCTGCCATGTTTTTTACATTAGTCCAGACTGGGAAAACTAAACAACTTTTGAGTTTCTATACTACCACAGGCTCTTTTTGTTTGGAAGGAGAGGGTGCGTTGAGGGGTATTCCAGCTGCAACATGCAATTTCAACACGAGATATCAAAAAATTCTACACACTGTACCTTTAACGTTGCAAGAACAGTTTGACATTTTCATTTACTTCCCATGGAATATTCATGGATCTTCATGTAAAAGGAAACAGTCGGTGTTTGAAGAGGACTCATGTTAGTGTGGGTATATTTTGTGCAAATTGAATTTAATGGGACTGTCAGGCCTTTGCTTCGTTTGTAACTGGGATTTCCAAGTTTAATTTCTGAATAGTGGGAGGAGGTGGAGCAGCAACATCCATCTTTATATACAATTTGTGTTTAAAACCAAAAGCTTGGAATGACACTCAATAAAAAAGTCCAGAATATTGCCCAACAAGTTTATTAAATTAAAGTACAATTATAAAATAGATGCAATTATTCTGCTTTGTCCATCATCCTGAGGAGAAGAGAACATAAATTAGGAATTTATACACTGACATTACAAAATAATTAACTGATATTTGATGTACAAGATTTCCATGTTTCCATACCTCAACAGATCTAGGAAGGTCGTGCGCAGCCCCTTCCGTCTGGGCTCTTGTTTTATTTTAGTCCCATTCATTCCACATCCTCTAGTCACACCTTTTCCCTCTTGTTTCTCCACCTCCTCTTCCTCATAACTCAGCATCTGCGTCCCATCCGCCCCTTTGGAGAACTGAAGTTTTGAGCGAATTATTGGTTGGTCATCATTTGTTCCTTCTTCGGGGATCACGGCTGCATCTGCTTGCATTTTAGCTGGCTCATCTTCCACTTGGTCAAAATGAACACGGTTAAGGTCATTTACAGTCGCCTCAGCTAGCAGAAGGATGTCGACCTGTGGAACATCTGGGCCAAACACTCCAGATCTACCAGTCAACTTTTGTCTTGGAGAAACTTCTGCAATAGCTGTAATGTCATCCATTACAGGAAACTTCAGATCCGACAATGCGGCGTCACCTTTTAGGCCATTGATACTTTGACCTTCGATCTGGTTTATGGGGAGATTTGAAGGTTGCGGCACAGGAAGGTCATTTGAAATTATGTCGCTTGCCTTTAACCGATCCGTCGAACCGTCTTCAAACTCCTGCACCTGTCCAGTCAGCCATAGGGTCAGTCTGGCAGTTGGGTCCTGACTCACAATGACTACACCCTGTGGAGGAGACGACATCTTGCTTCTTGATAGAGAAGCCCCTGAAACAATCGCATCTCCCGTCACTGTGTCAGACTGCATGACGTTGGTAACCGGGGCAGAGGGGGTTTCTTGTGGTTCAGAGACATCATGCTCTGAGCTCATCTCAATATAATTGTCTACAATGACTAATGGACCAGTGCTGACTGTAGCCCTGATCTGATCTGAAATGACACAAGGCACCGAGTTATTAAGAAACGCCCCCAAATCTTTATCATTGTACATTTAATTAGTACTAACCTTCAGGATGGTGCCTCACTGCTGGGCCTTTACACTTTGAACTGCAGCACTCGCATACCTCAACGTCTCCACCGAGCTCCTGCCATCTGACATGAGAACATTTTAGAAGTCAAGGTAAGTAACAGAATACAACCAAGTACATGTGTGTTAGTGTATCACTACTGTACCTAGAGTGGATTAAGTTGTAGTTGCAGGATTTAGATCCATGAGTGACTCCCTGGTGTGAGATGAGCATGCTGCAGTGAACGTAAAGCTTCAAGGAGAAAAAAGAAAACATGTCACTCAGTTCAACAGCAGAAACATACAGCCTGTCAGTGAAATTACATAACTAGAATGGCCCTTACAAAAAATAGTTCCCTTAAGTTAAAAGCCATGAAGCCTGGGCCACACTACATTTCCTCAGCTACACATTGGTCTAGCCTGTGTAGCCTACAACCATAAATCCAAAGTTTTATTTGGATCGCACATCCTCATTGATACCAACCCCCTTACTATGGGTGAAGTTTTTCAATGTTGAAGAACACCCTCTCTCAAGATCCTTGATCATCTCCCTGATCCACAACAGAATTTTTCCTTGACATATGCTTTCATTCTACCAATCAGGCAGCGCTATAATTTCATTTTTTAATAATACTGTCAACTCTGTAGGTTGTTTCTATTGAACTATAGGAGGAAAAAATACTTTGAAAGATTCATTTTTGAGTATGGAAGACTATCATTTTCTGTTGAAATTTGGCCATAACTTTATTCATTTTATACTCACACATGTGACAACACCCTGTCTCCAGCTACACCATCGCACAGGGTAAAAAAATAAACTCACCTCAGAAATGAGATAGGATGTGTTCAAAACAAAATTGACCACATCCCTTCCGGTGGAGGCCACAAACTCTACGACAGGATGAGGAGAACCCAGTGGGGCTGTGCACCTGCAGAAATGGTTTTCTCAGGTTATTCAGAAATGTAGACACAACAGTGAAGCAATGATGAATACCTGACTGGCTGCTCACCCTTTGTTCATTATGACTGCATGCCGAGGTTTACTCTGAGGCTCCGGGGACGCAGAGACGAAGCAGGACTGGATGAAAAGCTGCTGATCAGGTGTAGTTCTGGCAGAAACCTGCAGGTTGATAACTTGGCCTCTTTTATAGACATTTGACTCTGTGACATTGGTCCAGGAAGCTACAGGAAACAGTAAAAACCTCAGTGTTTGCAAATGAAATCCCCAATGTAACAGCATCACAAGGTTATGTTTTTCCTCTGCCCGATCAAAGGGCTGCCTGATCCAATAATCTGTGGATCTTGATTTAGGGGAAAAAAAAAATGCCAAAGTTAGGAGACTGATATTAAGTTGTGCAATTTGGTGTGTAACTAATTAATTGTGAATTCAAATGTAGTTTCATAAAGGGGACTTTTGGGCCTTAGCAGAGGTATGTGCTCTACTATGCATCATTACTCACATGTCACAACTTTCATATTGAATCGCCTGCCGTTCTCAGAAGGTGCCACTGAGTCAGACAAACTTGGACGAAAATAAGACCTGTAAAGACATGCAGTTATCTTTAGTATGTGTTTTTTTGTAATCACCCACAGATGTCTCTGGTGGCTCACCTCTTTGGGAAGCAGGAGACATGCACCATGGGAGGAGTATGCCACCAGGGGGCAAGTGTTTTTTTGAGATTAATGTGGATGGCGTTGGTGAACATCACCAAGCCGTTCTGCATCTGCAAGACAAGAGTGAGGGTTCAGAAAACCCACCACAAGGAGGTGCTGAAGTAGGAAGAGGATCTGGTTATCTCACTCCAAGTGTGGTTCCGCACTTGTCCACGCTGTAAGTGAAGACAAATTGGTTTGGTCGCTCTCTGTTGCTATAGCAGCCATCTCCCAACTGAATCTCCTCTGCGGTCAACATGGCACCACTGGACCTCTTATCCACTAGCACAGTGAGCTTAGATTCATCACAGAACACCTGCACTCTGGGAACGTTCAGGATGGGAGGCAGGTCAGCGAGCATGTGGAAGTCGGGGCCCGGGGTTTGCCAGGAGCTGAAGATTGGGTCATATGAAAAGAAATCAAAGTTTCTCTCAAATGACAAAGGCTCACGATCATCCAAAAATCCCGGAAAATCCTGGGAGAGTGTGGCATCATGCCTATTTATGATCACTGAGTGAACAGAGACAAGATGTCCAACAAAAATGCAAACAAAGGTCCCGACCAGCCCCATTTCAAAGCTCAGAGTGAACCAAGCTGTGCGACTCCACAGCCACGTGTGAACTAAATGAGCTGAAGAGGCAGGAGGGAAAGCTGCTGGCAATCTGACTGATGAGGCTGATATGCTGCATTCACATGAATCTGAAATCTCCACACCAGTGTAGCCTGTAACGCTTCATGCCCCTTCTGTATATTATCATCAGACAAAGGTAATTTACAGATTAAATTAAATTTAAAAAACATTTCAAAGGACATTATGTTTTTGCATGTCATTCCTGAGTGCAAATATTTCAAATACTCAGCCTCTCTGACAAAATACCAAGTGAACCTGGTTTTCATGATCTGCTATAAAGCAGAAGGGACCAGGGAGATAGTTGTAACATGTTTTATGTCTATCTGCCTCTCAGAGGGAGTGCATCAAAATTGATATGCAAACTAGTTGTATGTGTCTACTGTAAAATCATGTCACTGTTAATTTTACAACCCAAACAGAGAATTCATACTTAAGTCCTGAAACACAAGAAGTGAAATGTTCCAAATCACCCCAGTCTGTACCTGGGGTCAAAAGTACGATATACAAATAACGCATTGCTGATAAGTCAAAGATACATTTGTGACTTCTTATTTTAAATTGTGTCTACAGATGTTCAAGTCACGAATAATTCTGACTTTGTAAC